ATGCAATCAAACCAGAAATGCTGGTAAACAATAGGTTGGATTCAGTATTCACCAAGAAATTCACTAAGCGACAGCTCAGGTGGTTCACTTCTCCTGTTGCAAAATGATACATTAAAAAGGTATAGTTATAGCTAAAGATGATAAATTATGTAAGTAAAAAAAATATTTATATATATGGCATGTAGTTACTTTATGCCATTATCCCTTTTTCAGGCTATAGGCGGGGTTCACTTTTATGCAGTCCTCAGCTGTTCACAATTGTATTATTCATTTTTCAAACTTCCTGCCATTCTTTTAGTTCTTTTCCAAGTTCTTCCAAGTCTTTCATTTCCTTCGAAGTGGTGCTACAAATAAATACCGCTCAGTCATTATGAATGACAGTCAGTCTTCCCACCTCATTCTATCAAGACTCACATTAACCAGAGCAGTCGCCCTCTTGGCCTCAGCAAACCCAACAGGACTCGAGCCCTTTGCAAAGTTGTAGTAATGCAGCTGTAGTAATGCAGCACCATCCTCCTCACTGCCTCCCTTGAGGTACTTATAGACGCTAATGAGATCCCCTCTCAGCCTTCTTTTCTCCAGGCTGAACAGGCCCAGCTCCCTCAGCCTCTCCTCATAGGGCAGATGTTCCAGGCCCCTGATCATCCTTGTGGCCCTGCGCTGGACTCTCTCCAGCAGCTCCACATTCCTCTTGTACTGTGGAGCCCAGAACTGGACACAGTACTCCAGATGCGGCCTCACCAGGGCTGAGTAGCGGGGCAGGATCACCTCCCTCGACCTGCTGGAGATGCTCTTCTCAATGCACCCCAGGATCCCATTGGCCGCCTTGGCCACAAGAGCACACTGCTGCCTCATGGTCAACTTGTCATCCACCATGACACCCAGGTCCCTCTCTGCAGAGCTGCTCTCCAGAAGGTCGGTCCCCAGCCTGTACTGGTGTCTGGGGTTATTCCTCCCCAGGTGCAGGACCTTGCACTTCCCCTTGTTGAACTTCAGGAGGTTTCTCACTGCCCCGTTGTCCAGGTCCCTCCGGATGGCAGCGCAGCCCTCTGGGGTATCGGCTACTCCTCCCAGTTTGGTATCATCAGCAAACTTGCTGAGGGAGCACTCTGTGCCTTCATCCAGGTCATTGATGAATAAATTGAACAGGACTGGACCGAGGACTGACCCCTGAGGGACACCGCTAGCTACAGGCAATTAAATAATGCGTGCTGACTCCTCTTGTAAACAGATCTGTAATTCCTTACCTGTTTGATTATGGAAATATTTCATTTTCAGCTCTGACTTTTTCAAAGTCATCTTGACATTTTTCAAATCTTTTCTACAAAAACTTTCCCATACGACTAGCTACAAGATGTTTGAAAGAACTAATTGTTAACACCTTTGAAAAAAATCAAGAGGAACAAATTTGACACGCTAGTTCATAACATCAATATAAAGTTGATCTGCTCAAATATTTACACAACTTTTGCACCTAGTCACGTTCTCAGAAATGAATTATTTATAAATAGATTTCTAATGAAAAACTGAAACAAATAGATGAAAGCTTAATAAAAACGCTCTTAAACAAAAACTGCCCAAAGTTGGAAGTCATTTAATGCATATCTTGTGAACAAGTCACCCTTTCAGCATAAACAAATGGGAAGCAGCAGCATCCTGCTCCATGGCTGCTGTCCAACAGAGGTAAGAGGTACTGGCAACAACAGCAACTTAGATTCTTACTACTGACACAGGCACAGCTCTCTAGAAGATCTTCATCTGGACAACTTGGAAATTACATTTCCTTCTGGAGAGGGCAGCAAACCATGTATCTTAATCATATCTTAATACTCATTATACAGAGCTATTTCACATTCTGAGGGGTAATAAGGCAGGGATTAAAAGCAATCAAAGGACAAAACACAGAAAATCTGTTCCAGTTCCCAAACTCCTATCTCCGGGTCTCAGCAAATAGGGCTGAGGAACTACAGGAGAGCTGAAGGGGAGTTCCAAATGCTCCTGTAAGTCTTAAAAAAAAAAAAAAAAATCCCACCTACCCTGTCATTCTGATCTATATTTATAGGATGATAGTTTTAGATGCCTGATAAATTTTTTTTTTTTTTTGGCCTGGTGGCTGTGTGTGTCTTTCTCTTAACACGAGAGATAAGGGAGACTTTGGAAACAGCTCATGAAAGTACTACATACACTCAGTGCAACAGTCTTCACAAAGACAGACTCATAGTCTTATCAGTCCAAGTTCCCTCCTTCCTCCTTGCCCCCATTTTTCTCCTGAATTCACATTTTCTTCTACTCAACAGACCCTACGAAAAACGATTAAAACATTTTCATCACTGTTTTTGATACTCTTTAAATCTGCAAACACACTTAAGAAAGCAAGTCAGCTCCTCCCCTCATAGACTGAACAAATTCAAAAAATAGCGAGTCTGAAGTCATATCAGTTCCACTGACTACATCATGGTTTATTGTACAGAAACATGCCTACTTCTAACAAGAGAGACGGAACTAAAATGAGGATCAAAAGTGAACAGAAAATTCTTTCCAAATCAACTACATAAAGCATTTAGTAAAACTGCATACTTTTCCACAGTAAAATACAGATTAATACAGATTAAGTACATAATTAAAAATGTTAAATACAAAAATGCTCAGAAAAAGAGATTCAGAAGAAACACACCCTTATCTCGGAAGCCTGAAGCTTCCAAGATTGCAGTGTTACACTTTATAATATACCACAGGTCAGGTACTTTGCTACAGTCCTTTGTAGCATGATGCATTTAAAGTGTGATATAAACAATTGCCAGAGAAAACAAGTTTCTCTCTTTGAACACTAAGCAAAATTTTGTCTCTCACGTCAACTTACTTATCACAAAACTACCATTCTCGCCTTGCCTGTGTAAGATAAGAAGTACATTTAAATCTAAGATAAAAGTATTAACAGATTTTTTCGAAATATTCTGGGGCATATCAGAAACAGTACTGTGTAGTTACATGCTTACCAGGAATTTTTGCCCAGGAGAAAGTTTATAGTAATTATATTGTATACATGTGTATATATATAATATAGTAATCATATTATATAGTAATTTATATTCTTACCGCTCCAGAAAGCTGAAATCTTAATTTGTGTTTCCTATTTGGGTTTTCAATAGGGTAACACTCAAGGTCCCAGAACTGGGAGTAATCTCCTCTGTCTCTGGGTAGAAAGATTACAGAAACCTACCAAAAGAAAAAAAAAAAAAAAAAACTTTTTTTTTTAAATCATCATTAAATTCATTTACGGGCAATTACAGTTAAGTCAGCAACAAATGTATACACTAAAGAGATACATGCATGCCACAACAGACCGACTTGCATAAGATACTGTTGACCATCCTCCTGTTCAATATGTGCTTGTATGTGTTTTATCATCGTGGTTATGAAACCCTCTACTGGCCAGGAGATAAAATTGTTAACGCAAATGAAATCACTTTAAGGAATAGAAAACTCCTTTTCAAGTATGACAATATTTTACATATGAAACTAGTCGAGAGCACCATTTTCCCTTTCTTAAGAACAGAGTATTATTCCAAACTCTGTTGTAGATTTTAGAAAGCACTTCATAGCACTTTTCTGTCCTGGAAAGGTTCTATTTTACAGTTAAGAAACACATTTTTTTGAAATAAAAATACCAATTTACCTTCTCTTTTCCATGAGCTTCAAGAACACCAGAAACACGAGACCATCTGAAAGCTGAGTAGGTAACTCTATAAACATGACCACTTTCATCTACATCCTGCAAGTAAAGTTATGAGTTAGATTTGGAGGGAAATAGTTCATCAGCCTTGCAGAGGATTTTAAAAAGATATGACTAAAAATCAAGCTACTTTCAAGTGAAAAGATAATATCAAATCCCCAAAAGCAAAAGAATAAGGATTTAAACTACTACAATATTTATGCAATCGCCATGACTACTGACTTGAAATTTAGAACTAGCACAATAGCCAGAACACTGAATACTCAGTTTTCAGAATCTGGGATGCAACTCTGTGTTTCATTTTCTACTTTTTCCATCATTTCATATGACCCTTCTAGTTCAAAATCAGTAAAACAGCACTCCTTATGTATACAAAGCAGCAACAAAATACACACACACACACACACACAGAGGGAAAAATATTCACAAATAACAATGTCACGTCTACAGTAATTGCAAAAGTAGCAACAGCAAGTATCTCTGACCTAATTCAAAATTACCTCCAGAGATATCATACACAGTATAATCCCAGCAAGACAAGTCTCAGAACAAGGTAAATGAGTCAGACACCGTGGATCTGAAGCAGACACCTCTCACACATGCCTGTTTAATGCACTCTGCAGGATGTAGAGGATGAGCACTAGCAAGCCTTACGAGCTAGTAAGTGCTCCACAAGACTGTTCCTGATCCACTGATTCACTGTCAGATAGCACATCACTTGGAAAGGGAAGATAAACATTTCCCTAGTACAATCAGACTGCCTGAGAAGAAACTTAATATATCTTACATAATACACTGTTATTTCTGAAAAGAAGAATCTTAACAGTGTATGTAATATATTATTTCTGAAAAAGAAGGGGAAGAGAAGAGAAAGTAAAGGAAGAGATAGAAAAAAAGAAAGAGAGATTTGTACAAAACACACATTAGCAAGGCAGCATTCACTCACCTTAACATAGGGTGGCGCAAATGATGACAAATGCCACTTCAGGTTTTCCTCCCCCTTATTTTCCATTTCCAGATAGCTCTCTAGAAAGGATGTATCAGAATAATATATTGAATGTCTTTTTTTTTCTCTGAAGTATTTTCTTTTAATTACTTCTTGAAATAATTTAAACAAAAAACTATATTTCAAAACAAAAGTTTAACAGAAACAGTTTTCATGACACCAAAACAGATCTGAAGCTTCTAGAGCAGAACCAAACAAAATAAACCATCAAAACTCTTGAAAACTTAAAGCAAAATTAGAAGACTTTACTCCCAATTAAGAATCACACTGAAGATGCTTACAAGGGGGAAGAAAAGTTTGTCAAAGACAATGCACTGTTTTTTGCTGGAAATTTAGCTTCTGCAAGTCCACAACAGACAAACAGCAAAGATATCCTCCTAGTCACTTCTGACAATCTCTGTTTATTATAGGATTCAAATTTTTGGCCAGTATTTTCAAATAATAGAATGCAAAAGCTCCAAAAAGTTCTCACTGCTGCTAATACATAATGCCAGTGAAATATAGCATAAATCTTCACTAGAAAAGATACCTAAGCAGTAGGGAATATCTGGCATCTAGACAACAGAATGGCAGTTTCATATAGTGATCTAGATGATTTAAAGCATCATTGGAGTTAAAAAATAAAGACCGAGGGTTCAAGGATCTATTTTCAACAACATCCTTATGTACAAGGCAGTCAGCCAATCTTGCAGTTAGTATTCCCTCAGACTTAAGAAACTGGATTTCTCTGCTATATGCACAGGTATTTATCTAGTATCACAGAGACAAGCAGAGTATGAGGAGAAGGCAGAGAACTGCAGAAGGGCAGTGATTTGGAATAGCTTTAGTCAAGCACAGCAAGCCCACAGTGCCACCCTTGCCATGGCACAGAATGGTACCATCCATCAAAGTGCCTAAAAACTGCCAAGCTATGTACCCCGCCTACGCAAGCCCACCGACAGGCAACACAATTGCTATGCTGCACAGGAAAGAAAAAGACCTCAGAGATTAAAGAAAAAAAAGTTACATCACAAGGACTAATATTTCAAGAAACAGACTCAAGACAGTGGTCCTGCCCAATCACGCTTATCAGGCTTAAAAAAAAAAATTAAGAATCAAGGCATTTAAGTTTCTAAACATGTAACTCAGTGAACAAAAACTCTAAACATAAAATACCACAGATGCAGCAATTACAAAAAAAGTGAAATTACCTGAGCTTTCACCAGATCCTGTATTAGGAAAAACGACAGTTCTGTTCTTTATTACCACTGTTGAAAATGAGGGCATTGAAAGAGGTTTTGCCACATGAATAGCAGGATTTTCAGATGGTAGAGCGAATATATCCAGTTTTCTAGATGGAGAGCCTTCCTCAGATGCACCCTTTGCGATTGCATCTTGAATCTGCACTTTGATAAACTTTAACACAATTTGAAGAGAGTAAGAAATATTTAAATAGTTAACTGTTATATCATAAGCTCTGCTTTTTTGTCACCTTTTGTTTGTTTTAAACACCTTGTTCAACCCTACATCCCAACAGCAGAAAAAACGTTAAGTTAAATATTCAGATCTTTTCTAATTTCAAATCATAAAGTTTAATAGTTTTGCAGGGAAAAAAATAATTTAGGAGAAACAGAAAATTTACTCAGTGTTTACCATCTAGAGGGTTCATTTCAATAGGCTATGTGCAAATACCATTACAGTAACCTATTAAAACTGAATCCTGCTCTCACTAGAGTTGTTTTCCATAAATATTTATAGTTACCTATAAAGAGTACTTACTTATAACTATAACATTGCATAACAACTATTCTACAGCATATTGTAATAAAGTGACAGCAGATTATTCTTCAAAAAGACAGACAAAACAGTAAGTTATACAAGGGAAAGTTATTTGCCAATTTCTCTGTTCCCAGAGAAAGGGACCAGGTCTACTCTCAGAGAGCATCTACTGTCTGCTGTGTAAGATCCTCCTAAATACTTAGGATAATATTACTAAAATCTGAAAACACCCTTTACCTAACTGGACAGGTAGCAAAGAAAGCATTATCAGCTACCAGATCATTCATATTCGACTGGTTTTGCTACATCCTTTATTTTTGTTTTACTAGTTCTCATATTGCTGAACGTGGCACATTAAGGATGTGTGCAGCACCCATGGCCTTCTCAACTCATCATATTCATCAATGTCCCTGTGCCCCTAATGGCAGTTTCCAATTCCAAACCGTACATGCCAACTTTCTCCTTTAAGAGAAGATATGGAAAAGTAGAATTGCTTTTTTGTCTTTTAAGTCTCCTTCATCTATTTCTCTCTCTCTCCATCCACCCTCATCAACACCATCAAAAGACATACTGACTTCAAAAACAAAACAAAATCCTCAACATCCATAAGTAGGTATCTATTTCTCTAAGAGAGACTACCAAAGAGCCTATCTGCTTTTACTTTGATGAAAGGAAAACCTCTTGGCTTAGTAAGTGTATTTTATATATACTGCTTAATTCAAGCAAGGAAAAATCTTGGATTAAAATTCATGAACATCAAGAACCTGTTCTACAGTTTCTTTCCCACAGACTCATCTGCCAGAGGGTTAATATTATCTTAAAAGAGACCAAAAGGAACAGAACCAAGAATCTCAAGAATGTTTGCAAAGAAAACAGCTTAGCTATTTTTATTCATTAACATTTTCTTTAGGAAAGCATTAAAATTAGGGAAGGGAAAATGATTTTAATAAAAACACATAAAATTGACAGAACTGGTATCTTATGCCTAAAAGGTTATAGCAATACTACTCATTCCTACACATCAAACCAAAATAAACTGTCATAACTCTCAAACCTTACCTTTTGTCTATTATCACAGTGTATATAGATTAGGCCACTCCAAGGGATTACTGAAGGTTTTGTAGCAAGTGACGGATTAGGACTCACCAGAATTAGTATACTGCTCCTATTAAAAGGAAAAAATTGCTAGCATTATCCTCAGATTAGACTGAACATCTATTACTGAACTTGCTAGCTCAAGAAAGGATGGCAGCTAAATGGATAAAATCTAGAGATTAAGAGCCTTAGATAACCAGTACATAAAACAGTAACACACTTTACAAACTTCTCACTTGGGAGGGGAGCAGAAAAAGAGAGTGAAATCTATCTGTCAGTAATATCCTGTCAGGCAATGGGAAGTAGACAGTTTCAATTTTCAAAAATGAAATAGTATTAGTCAAATTATTTGCACAAATTATATTTAAGGTATTCTTATAAGCCAGTTCCAGGTTAATAGAAATTGTTCTATTTCCTTTTGCCCATGCAGAGCCACCAACTCTGGAAAAAAAGAAAAATCTACTAATGTTATCAGTGATTTTTATAGATAGAAAGAACAGAATTCGTTCAAAGCAGTTAGGACATCACACAGAATTTGACCACAGAGAACATAAACATATTCTGATTTACAGTGTTCCATATTCTATACTGTATAAATTTAAATAAAGGAGGGCAGAAAGTAAGCAAAGAAGATTATCAATAATTAGCACTACATCACTGAAATAAATGTCATTGATATTATGCAAATAAAACCAATTAGCAGAATTACTCAAGCTACATCTGAAGGACCAGCTTGAGATGCAATTAGCACAGCACACAAGTTTGGTGTAGGTGCGAAATCAATCCACAGGAATCATAATACGTCTGTCTCATATAAATCTCAATTAACAGCTGCTAATAATTTAAAAATATCTCATTGGGATACTGGTATTTCTTGAAATGTTCTTTTCAGTTAAAAAGGATGGGATTTTAGCTTCCAGCAGCAGTTAAGTCTTTCAGGGGCATTGCCAGCGAGTGCATTCACACACTCTCACACTTGAGATGAGAATTTTTTAAGGCTCAGCAGTTTTTGGAACATCCTCACTAATGCCATCCTCTCACACACAGGCTGTGTATGCCAGAATAGGCTTGCAATGCACACACACCATGCCAGTGTCTATAAACTATCTGTTGCCACAAACCCTTCCATTGCCTTTCAGCTTCTTTTTGACATTTGCTGCAAACTTCATCTGTCAATCCGACTTGCATGGAGTCACAGACCATATGTCTCTCACAAGGGTCATATTCAAACCTAACCACTCAGTACTTTCATTGCTCCATTCTAAACAGAGTGGTGTCTAGCAGGAAAAAAAAAATCTCCACATATCATCCAGAAAGAAAGTTGCAGAAACATTTTCCAAAGAAGGCTCTTAAAGTTTTTCCAGTTTCCAACGTTCCTGGCTTCCAAAGAACTGTTTCTTTCTCAGGACTTATGTCCCAACACTGAGGTGCAGCCAACACCCCTGAGGCTAGCTTCACATCATCTCTATGTGAAAATACATAAAAATGCTACTGAATTCAGTAGGGACAGCCTACTTCGTTACTGCACATTCACATAGGTTAGTGATTGCCTTTATCACATCCCTTGGAACTTGAGGGTTTTAGTGGGGGGCAGCATGTGTGACCCTATATGCTCCAGCATGGCAAAGCATGTTCTTGGTCTTTGGAACTTTCTCCACTGTCACAGAAGTGTCAGACCTCCTCCTTTTCCTGGAATATACCAGTTCAAGAAGACTGTGTGGTGCCAGGCATCACTGCATTATGCAGATTCTAGGTGGCTCCTGCCCAAACAGCCTGTGTGCTCTTGGCACTGGAGAGGCAGGGTCATGAAAAATAGAGAAACAGGTGAAGTGCAGCTTACTGGGCCTGAGCCAGCTGTTCCCACAGATCTGTTTCCCACTTGCAGCTCTGTTCTTGACCCAGACTACTTACTCAGACCCAACAGCCGAGGTTTCAGTTCACTCTTCTCCAATGAAGAGGAAAAAAAACAAAATTATCCAATACAAGGAAGTTGCCAGAAGAATCACTTTGATTCTCTTAATAAGAACCCATCTACAGAGAATCATAAATTGGGAGTATAGGACACTAGTTATATCCTTATTGGAGAGGTATTCATTGTTACATCAGTTTTTTGAAATAATGTTCTTAGCGTTGACAGCATCTCTAAGGAGTGACAGATACCCAAGTACTCCAGATAAGCTTCTTGTCCTCAATACTGATAGAAGACCCTCCCACCCAATGTATCCAGGTGTTTACGCATATATGAAGATAAAATAAAATATACATATGTTTATCTATATGTTTATATATAAAATAAAAAAATATATATTTTTAAATACATCACATCATCACTTAATGATGCCGAATTGAAGGGCATTCGCTTGCTTTGGGGGAAACATCCACAAAATTAAAGCAATTAATAAACTAAATAATACTCATGCTGTTTTTGTGGAAAAAAAGCAATTAAGAAGGATATAAGACTAGTTTAACAATGGGATCATAAAAGCCAATCTAAATTGACCTTGAGGGAAAAAAAGAAAACCTTCAGAAATCAGAGGAGGCCAGAACTATCAAGCAATTTACTGAAAAAAGACTTTTTGCTGACATATGTGAGAAGTTTCACACACACACACACACACACAGTAATTTTATGACTGCAGTGACAAAATACTAATAGTAAAGATAGGTGACCTGACACCTACTTGCTTTTCCTTTTATATTACAAGTTTTGAGAAGTCAGAGATTAAGTGGCAATAAATAAATGTTGAAACACAAATATATAAATAAATATATGAGATATAAATAGTATATGATTAATGATATGCAATACATAAATATAAGTATAATATATAGATTATACACAGCATCAGTTATATATAAGTTCTGATATATGTGAACATATACATGTGTATACATGAGATGTGTATATATACTATAAGATGACTGTCAGCGTATCAGCAAAAGAAAATATGAACAAGTCATACTAAGACAAGCATTTTATAGAATATCTAACTGTTTTTTAGAGGATCACTTTTAACAAAACCACTATTGTGAAGATTTCTTTTTAAATTTCTACTTTGTCAGCCATCCAGTTTCAGAAGAACCACACAAGAACAACAACAGTATTTCTCAGCACAGAAAATTCTTGGCTTCTATATAATTTTACTTATGACAAATGACAAAAGTTACACAAGAAAATATAAAGGATAAGGTCCTTAGAAGGACAAGGATAAAGAAGCCAGGTTTACATATTAACCAACAGAAAGACCATACCTTAGAACTCACCAAAATAAACTCCGCTAAAACCTTAATAACCAGATTACATTCATAAATTAAGGAAACCTACGAAAAGAAACTTACTCTGGTTCAATATTTCCATGTTGTGGAGTTATAGTAAGGCAGTGAGCTGGCCAAGAAAGCTCAAATTGCAACATCCTACTAGAATTATTGATAATTTGTACATGTCCAGTATCAGCTGTTCCACCTGTGATACAAAAAATTAAAAAGTTAACATAAACAAAAAATTAAGATGTCCAAAATTGAGATATGAACCAGATAAAATCAAGTATTTTTTGTTTGATTTTTATGCTTGTATACTTTAAAGCCTTCACAGATTCTCTTGCTAATGACCTGCATATCAAAAAAATGCCATCTTAGTTCACATATACTACCTAATTCATCTTTCTGCTGACAATTTCATCAAAGCAATGTTCAAACCAGTTTACTGTTCAGAATAAATGCTATGCCAACAAGATTACTCATCAAGAAATCCAAAATAATTACAGGCATAGTAAATAGTACAGTTATTTTACTACTAGAATGGTCATTTTATTAACTTTGAAAAAATACTTACTAATAGAAGGTGGTGTCAAAATTAAGTATTCGGGTATAACAGACCAAGTCTGCTGATCCACTAATATATTCTGAATAATATCATCAGTTTTAACATGTAACGGAGGACCCTGAGGTCCTTTAACGGGAAGAACATCCAAAGTTGCATTGATATGTCTGACAGAGTTGCCAAACCTAAAAATAAAATTGCATTAAACAACAGTATTTATAAAAAATAGCTTACGAGGGATTTCAAGGTACTTTTAATATTCCTCAGTCTCACAGTCCGAGCACATAAAGCTCTTCACAATATCCTTCAACTTAATTCAACTCTCCATTATTAAAATATTAAATAAGCAGCCATATCATGACAAAACTTATTAATAGGATGTTTAAAGGAGCATAATGGAAGGGATTAAAAGAAGCAGTTATCTTTCGCTGACAGTAAAGTAAAAGGCTTTCTCCATACATGCTTTATTCAGATTAAGACGGTACTGTAGGGAGTAATAAAGAGTTCACAGAACAGTTGAGGGTGAAAAGAATCTCCTCCATACATGCTTTATTCAGATTAAGATGGTACTGTAGGGAGTAATAAGAGTTCACAGAACAGCTGAAGGTGAAAAGAATCTCTAGAGATAATCTAGTCCAACGAACCTTGCCAAAGCAGGGCCCTCTAGAAGAGATTGCTTAAGACCTTGCCTAGTCAGGTTTGGAATTTGTTGCACTGTTTGACTCTTCTCACCATAAAGAAGTTAAGTTTAAATGGCATTTCTTGTATTTTAATTTGTGTCCATTGCCTCTTGCTTGTTCACAGGGTTCCATTGAGAAGTATTTGGCTCCATCTCCTCTACTGGCCCCCATTAGGTATTTATACACACTGATAAGATCTCCACCCTAAAACTTCTCTGTTCAAGGCTAAACAGTTCCAACCCTCCCAATCTCTCATTGTGTGACAGAAACTCCAATTCCTTAATCGCCTTCACAGCCCAACGTTTCACATCTTTAATTGCAAGAGAGATGGCAGATAAGCTCGTATATGAAAGCTAATAAGTTCTCTCATTCCAGGATTCAGAATTTGTCTCAAGTTAAACGCTTACCTGACAGCAAGTTAGATTTTAAATGCTAAAATATAAACTGGAAAACAGCAGTTAAGAGTAAAGCAGATAACTGTCTTGCTCCATACACCATTATGCAAACATACCATTCCTATTTTTACTTTTCAGTGCCGCTTAGAATCCTGCCTCAGTTGAGCACATCTGAATTAATGCTCATGGATTCACCCCTGACAATAACTATGGAAGCAGCAGGCAACCCCTAGATGTGGAATTTCTTAATAACCAGATTACTAAATACAAACAGATTGCTAAGAATTGCAGTGCACTCAAATTGAAGAGCCTCATGCTGTTTAATAAATTCAAATAATACTAGGATAACTCAGCTAGAGGTTGGAAACTAGCATGTCTGACAAACACCTCACTAGGTGGTAAGTCTGTTAACTGTCCAGAAGTGTTCAACATCTTGGGTGTAGCAAGCACAAATAATTCTAAGGCAGAGATTAGACTCAACGGGACTATGAGGCTCTTTCTTCACTTATGTAACAGTGAAGAAAAAATCCTTCTGAAGAAACAACCAATAAGAATATATTTTCTACAGTTAACCCAAGACCTGTAAGACCTGTAAGGATTTGGATGTTTCTTCCCTTGTGCTAAGGCTTCAAATACAAGAGCAGCCTGAATACATAAAAATGGCAAGTCCAAACTATAAGCTAGGTCTCTATCAGCTTTCCAGGATGAAGAATAGGAAGTTGCAAGTGACTGACATCAGTTTGGTAAACAGTTTAAAAGTTATCCTAACAATTTAAACAGACTAGATAAAAATGCAGGCAATGCTCTTTCACTCACACAGGAAGTCAATTTTCATCATTGATGCTACTGTACAACCCTTCAAAAAAATCTCCAAGGTTTTAAAAAGCAGATGCAGTTCAGTTTGGGTTATCTGAAGGTAACCTTTATAGTCACATTACCTGTCTGATGCCAAATGATGTTGAGGAGACTGCTCAAAGTCATCTTGATCAGAAGGGGAATATCCAATCACACAAAGGACAATCTTCCGCATGTTTCCATAGAAGAGATGGATGTCATTTGATCTCCTTGGAATTTCATATACTAAAATAAGAGTGATGGAATAATTCTAATGAAAACAAAATCAACAATTTCTTGAAGTCACAGAGATCTGAGCTATAATCCTAATTAATCATCAGTTGCCTAAAATACAGTTGATTGTTAATATCAGAACAGAACAGAAGAATACTTGTAAAATTCTGCTTCTCTCAAGAATATGACAGCCAACTGTCTAGTCTAACTCACAGATTTCACACTGATGCATCCCATGAGTGAAAACTAACACCACCAGTTATTTCAAACACTGAAGTTAAATATAATTTCTTATTAGAGTTGTCAAAAACCCACATGGCTTAAGGTAATGCAGAATAGAGTCCGAAACAGTCCACAGTTATAACTAGGAGTGGTTATAACTGTGTGTAAGCATGTAGCTTCAGATTAGAATTTTCCAGCTGTAAGGATTACCTTTTGTCTTTTAATTTCACCATCTCTTTAGCACACTTTTATTTAAAGACTTAAAAAGTAACCAAGCAGTTAAACATTGAAAAAATAGAACTCTTTTCAACTGAAAGGTATCTTTCAGCAAAAAAAAAAAAAAAAAAAAAAAATCTCAGATTTCTTAATTCCATGTTCCTAACTGTATTTGTTTTTATAAGAACAATTACAAAAAAAATTTTTTTTTTTAAAAAAGAAGTGAATAGGTTATTCATATATTCATGATTATAATCTAAGAACTACACTTCCAGCATGCACTCTCCACGACATACTTGTGGTGTTTCACAAGCCTGTCTCCCAGCTTTTTGCAATACCAACTTTGTCTCGAATCTATTAACTTCAGTACAGAAAGCAGAGCATGACCAGTTTTGCATACCCAAGATAAATAAGTTTGAGTAAAAGTTGTTGTTGTAATCGAATAAGAAACAATAAGCCACAGTAGACAATTTCAGCAAAGTATGGTGTCAAAGACAAAAAATACATAAGTAAACTAAGATGCAAGAGTTAAATCTGCTTTCTACAGAAAAAGTATATTTAACTCCTACTAGCAAGACACTATTAATAAGCCAACTATAGTTAATCAAAGACTGTCTAGTCTCTCTCACATTGGGTTAACAACTTGCACATGTGGGAGCACGCAGGGAAACCTCAGGTATCTTCAGTAGGACTTCACTTCAACCTATCCAAGATGAACAATCACTGCTCCAAGTAAAAGCAACAAACAAAATTTCCATGGGAAAGACTCAGGCACCATAACAACCTCCAGACAGCAAAAATCTTTGCATAGATAAGTAGAATCAGTTCAAGAAATATGGAATTAAAGGCTTAAAAAAAAAAAAAAAACACTGTTCTTAAAATAAATTGCAGACTTCCTCAATTCTGTGATAATACAAGCAAGAGTTGAAAAAGAAGTTTAAAGTTGCTTAATTTGGAATGGGAAGGACATCTTCAAACATCAGCAAGTTCTCAAATACAGAATATGGCACCTCCGTACAAAGTTAACTCTGCAACTTTTAGTAAATTTGTACCTCAAGTCTCTTGCTCATGTATTAGTGATAAGCTAAAAATTCTCAGAATAAACTGAACATTCCTAGTGTCATAACATATATATACACAAGGGCTTCTGCTCTGTTCAGAGAAAAGCACAGTAAATCTTAAACAGGTAAGTACGCAATACAACAAAGCAAGTTTTGTCCAAATTGGACACTTGGCTTCTGCATTAAAAAAAAAGAATGGAAAAGTAATTAGAATTCAAGCCTAACACACATTTATTCCACCCTTGCCCCCCTCCAGCAAAAAAAAGTATTACAATTTCCTTTAATGAGTCATTGGCTCACCTTCCGTCACTAGCTGCTCCCCTTGAAATTCTTCGTCAAATATGACATTTCTCACCAGACTGTTTTCTGGGACTATGTGTTTTTCTACCTGAGGGTTATACATCATGGCTCTATCAAAGAAATAAGAAACAGACTTGAAATTATACATATTACAGATTTAAAATTATATGCATTACTGGAACTATCAATCTGAAAAGGATTCCTAGGGTAAGAACCTATCATCATTTTAATTTTTACGATTTCTGGAATACACCAAGGCCATGTTTGTGAACATACTTTTAAATTTGAAGCCCTCTCATATGATTAAGACTTGGACAGAAAAAAAAATAATAAAACAATAAAACAAAAACCTCACTCTGTTGCTGTATAGTAAAAGGCACCAAATCATGACTATCACAGGCTTATCCTTCTGTGGGTCAGTAATGGAGAGCCTGGCACTCAAATGGCAGAAGGAGCCTTGGACGCATCAGGAGCCAAGTGGCTACGCAAAGCCTGACTGCCTCAACAGGAGTCAGTGTGACCCATCTCTTCCTCCTAGGTCTCAGACATTCACCAGGTTGCTGACTGGGTGTGTTTTTAGAGTCAAAACTTGAGCCAGAAGCTGGCACACTGGACAGATTTTTCACTTCACAGTCGTGTCCAAGCCTTAAATCACAGCCTTGTTGCATTATACACCTAGAGAACAGGGCTTGGCTGTCCTAGTGCAGTCCTTTTACAAGCACAACCAATGCTGTTGGTAGCATTACACCCTTCATTTTACCCTTCTATAAAACATCTGCCTACTTCATAACAGCAACCTGCAATATTCCATCTTACCTACGATATTGCTGTCTGGATACTTCATCTCCCCAAAAAAAACATATTGCTGATATCAATGGGTTTGTTTTATGCAAGTTTTCTTTTTCCACAGGCTTCCATGTTACAGTAATCACCTGATAAAAGATATAATCAACATACTCAGACAAAAAATCTTGCAGTCAGTACAGATGTTTGTGAAATTACTGCAATACAAGTGAAATGCAAAAGGTTAAACACAAGTGAAACTTTAATGAGAATCTTATGATATGCATACTCACTGAACACATCTATTTTAAAATAAAGCTTGTTCACTGTTTGATTTACCTCATGTGTTCCTTCCTTTAGCACAAACTTCTCAGGATTCATCGTCATTGCGTGAGGATCCACAATTTTTTTTGTCTCAAGGTCTGCAAAGCACAATGCTCTAACGTAGGCAGCACGAGAGCCTGTGTTTCTTATGCGGAAAGAAACTTTCCCCAAACTTGCAGAGGATATTTCATCCAGTTTTATCAGGTAACCACCTGACAGCTTTTTAACATTTTCTAAGATGATATTGCTTGTTCCTCCATATCCAGAAAGAGGTATCTGAAAATGAGCAGTAAACTTGAGATGAAATGTTTCTTACTAAGTTTCTATCAAAAAAAAAATAGCATTAAGCTATACAGAGAGCTTATACTATACAGCATGACAAAGTCCTGAAAATATGAAAAGGAAGAAAGAAAATAAGCCTAAGTTTATTCAACTCCAGTTTCCAAGTTTTATTGAAAATTAAAGTTTTTCTGTAAAAACAGACAAATTCCGATTTTTTGACATTTCTGGAAAACGTGGACATCTTTTGGACAACTTTTAATATACTACATAACTCCTTCCTTAAGGAGATGGACAAAATGCCAAGTCAGTTTGTTGAATGTTCAGACTATATAATATATTGTCTGTATCATATTTAGCAAATATACACATATACATATTGAGTATCTTGAGAAGTGCTAGACTTTTCTTTAAAAAAAAGAAGAAAGTTGTATGCAATTTAAATTATTAGAAATTAGGTGTAGAAAGCCTTACAGTAAACTTAATTCCTGGCTGTGATCGAATCCCCAGCTGTTTGATTTCTAGCTTTGCAAACATGCAAGTTATACGAGTAGGTGCAAACATCAAGTATATATTAGTATCTTCTTTGGGACGGATTTTGAGCTCCCAATTGCTAGTTAGGCGTTCCTCTGATCCAAATATACTTTGCAGCTATTGAAAAAATAAAATAAAAATATCAAAAGTGAGCAAGTACAGTAAGGACACATACAGAACAAGATTTCCTTAATAACCCCAAATTAACTTAATTAATCCAGAGCCTTATCAAGGCAGAAGGAGATATTTGAGGCCACAATGACTCTAAATAGAGGAGTGGCAAAACATTTTTCAGCAGGAGCATTATATCTTTAGAGCTTTCACCAGACACAGATTCGCAGTCAACTTGTTTCATTTTGTAGCCTCATTTTCTCCAACGCAGTCAGGACAAATAGAGATGATTACATAGAGAAGCATACAATTTTGGCGGGGGGGCATCAAGCACTGCCAGTTATTTTCTGGCCAAAACAGGGACAAGAATCAATCAGTTCTGCCCAGGTCAGAAACAGCCTTCGCAGATGAGCCAGACTGGTTAAGGATCTGTGACTGCTGAACTCAGAATTGGCAGCCAGAATGAGCAAGAGTAATTCAGCCACTCTCCAAAGAGGACAGATGAACTAGTTAACAACTGGAAGACCAGCTTTCTGATTATCCCAGAAAAAAACATCTCAAGTATTTCCAGAATGAAAATTAGGCCAGACATCCAGAACTCTGTGCAATGACCATGGTATGCATCATTACATATAGTTAGGAAATTCTTCTCTGGGAGAAGTCACAAATCCAAAACCTGTAAGACATTTAAAACCTGCCACCTCTTCTCAAGCACTGTTACATTCTGAAATGTTATTGATGAACTTGTATCTGACTCCCCTCTGATTAGATATCTTCCCAAGGAAAGGAGAGAAAGGCATCCCAGCTTAGTGCCAGGATTTAACTCACCACAGGGAGGAGGAAAAAAAAAAAAAAAAAAAAAAAAAAAAAAAGTAAAACAATTTTGATCTTTGATCCCAGAGAGCTTCAGAATCAAGTAGGCAGTAATATATGACACCACAGTGAACCAAAACAATTGTTCAAAATACAGGCAGAGAAATAAAGACTTTGCCACCTCAACTCTTAATATATGCTTACTGCATGAACATATGCCTATGCAGTGCTATTAAAAGTAGAAAAATTATTCTCCATTTGGCCTCTTCCACTGAATTTGCAAAATCAGATATTTAACACAATCTCATTTAAGCGATCTGCTACTCCAAAATAGCAAATCTGAATTTGCTTTCTCAGCTGATATCCTATTGCAGAAATTCTCTGCTATTTGATTTCTAAACAAATTCAGCTATTATTGAGCAAACACTATTGTGAGTATTAAACAAGTTTTGATGGCTTTATTACAAAGAGGTTATCGTGATAGTTTTGTCATAAACACAAAATAGAAATTTTTATTAGTTGTTACCTGAAAGCAGTCCTGATCCTGGCCTCTTATCAACAGTCTTAAATGTTGAGTCACAGACAGAGAGTTATTTCTTAGAGTTAACTTCTGCTGACTGAAAAATATGAAGTTAAATTGTACTGTGCAGAAAAAAATCAGTGTGAATATTTATTCATGGAAATGGAACAATTTTACCTCCTGTTACAGCATAATATATTAATTCAAAGGTTATTTCTGTATTTTCAAAGTTACACATTACAACATTATATACGACTACATTAGTCCTCAGATAGGGAAAAAAAAGTAAAAAGTTTTTCTGAAGTTCAAGTATTGCACTTGGTAGCTTAACAGCACTTGTATGAATATAAGAGACTCCTTTGAAGAATGAAAAAAAAATCTCTTAAAGATTTTAAAGATATAGTTATTCAGAGCCACTAATTTATGGAAATCTAAATCCTTCAAGCGTTAAGAAAAGTGAGAGTAAATAAATCAAAGCATTTCTCCATTCCTAAGTGCATTATTGCTCACACAAAAATGGCTTACATATCAGTGAATGTAATAACAATTTCAAGAATACATCAGTGAAAATTTTATCCCCCAAATCTTGAGTCTTTTGTACTTCTTACTTGCAAATCTCAGAGACTAGAAAAATTTTGAAGCAAAAACTTTCCTTTTGATCCTACAATAAAAGTAGCAGATTTCTTCTGAAATTTCACTGAAACAGCATTAGAGAACTAAACTGGGCTTAAGATAGCTTTTCCTTTTAATATACTTATCAACAAGGATGGTACCATAGAAAATTATGGCCACTTGGCTGCATCAGGCAGATCCAAAAAAAAATTTTTTTTTCCTCCAACATACCCCGACACTGACTGGAAAATACTTAAGTGTCCAGAATACATTTTCAAATAAGAAAATGTAGATACTACATTTTCTTTACTTCTAGATACTTTTTCTTTAAAATCTTATGATAATGTTACATTGGCATATCACTCTGGTAACAATGCAAATTAATTACAAATACAAATCACTGACAGAAATCTGAAAACTGTAACACTTTCTCCAGGGTGAGGCACCACCATATGCAGAAGCCTTCAAAAAGGCTCATCCTGGCTCAGGAGGAGGGATCTTGTTCCTTGCTTCTTTACTCATTCACTGCTACCAGCTGCTGGCTCCCACTGTTCACTTCAAGGCTCCTGGCACTCAGGCCTTTACTTAGCAGAGGCAGGAACTTCTACCATCTCCAGGAGTCAAAAGCTGCTCACAACAGCCTCTATAACAACTCCAAATACTCAAAGACTCTGACACAGAGCAGGTTGTGCAATTAGATGCAAGGATGGGATGAGGAAGAAAGGGGAAAGCCTTCCCCTACATTTCAGGGACATAGACTTCGTTTTTAAATCTTGAAACACTAAGGC